TTTTTTTTATTTGTTTCTGTATGTGTATACCTGACATACATATGTAAATGATTTTCTTTGTTTTTAAACATTCACCAAAACAAAAAACACAGGTAAGCCCAGCTGTCTGCAATACTATCATTCTGAGCAATGTAAGAATAGAAAATTTTCCTGAAGCCATAATGTTTAAAATTAAATAGCTGATTCTTAATTTGACAATTTAAATGAATAATTTAAAGGCAGCCATGTCAGAATCTGTATAGTCATATAAATGCAAAATTGTGTTTACAAAATTTCTAAAAGGAGAAGCTTTATCATTACCAATAACCTCCCCACTCCCATGAGGAAACTAGACAAATCCTGGCGTGTTCTAATGAGGTAAACAAATAAGACTTAGTTAAATGGTCATTAAAGATTCCTCTAGTAAGCCATTCCTAGGCTTGGCTTATCGAAACCTAATCAGATGGTTAAGCCATGTTGGCAGTTTCATACCTGTTGACATAAATGTGTGAACAAACTTTGTAATCTAAACTTTTGACCTGCATGTTTTTTCCTCACCCCAACTCATTCCTTACATGTAGACTCAAACTTTTCAGTATTTGGGTTACTGGTTGAGCAGAAGCCATAAAAAAAGTCATAATAATCAGAATGTTATCCAACTGTATATTGTTTACTTTTATTGTAAATAATAGTGAACAGTGGTCAATAAATAGTTTTATATTCCTTTAAAAAAAAAAAAAAAAAATGGCGCATTACTTTGTGGCTGCAATATCTGAAGCAGAAGCGACACCATAATAATGACCAAGCCCAGTTCAGGACAAAAAATGGTTTGTTTTCAGAATTAAAAGTTGTTATCAAGCAAAGTCACCCAAATCTAGAAATCTGAAGAGAGAAGGAATGGGTTAAGGAAGAAGAAGAGGGCTTTTGAAAAGTTCACGCCAGGTCTGACAAGTTACGTCCTGAGACTGTCATAGTGACAGAACACGGATGAGCGTTGAGCCCGGACACCGTCCTTAGGTTTCCTCCACAAAAACACGACTTCTGAGTGACTTGAGGAAATGACAGTTCAACAAAGCCCAAGCACAGCACGTGAGGACCAAGCTGCAGCCTCCGCCCAGCGCCGCTCCGAGGCTTTGGGACACAGCCCTACCTTTGGGGTGTCCACACACTCTTCTTCCATAAATGCTGCTTCCGCCTGACAGCCTGACGCCGGGAAGGAAAAGGCCTCCATGGTGGCCGCCTGTGGGAGCAGGGCCGAGCGCAGCAGCCTCACGTTGGGGGAGTGCACGGCCACCGGGAGTCCCACAGTCTGTGCCTGTAAATAAGCAAAAACAGACAGTCGGGGTGTGAATACCTCCTCTATAAACACACAAAGTTTTTTTTTTTTTTT